AGTCAACTAGACCACAAAGAATACAGCCCGATGGAGCAGAGCAGAGCCTCCAGGTCACAGCTGGTTCAATGGCAGGGCGGCTGCTTTCCGCCAGGTCTTGGTACCCGATCACTAAACTGTATGATATATGTGTAAACAATGTGTCACTTGAGAAGTGTACTACTTATGTTTACAAATATTAACAATGTTAAGATATTACCCATGACAAAAACCACTAGAGAGAGACCATGACAAAACTGAATTTTTTAATTAGATTTAAGTAAAAAAAAAAATTCACAAAAGCAGGTTATTTTTCCTCTTGGTCAGAGGTTGGCAAACTTTTTCTGGAAAGGGCCACATAGTAAAGATTTTAGGCTTGTGGGCCATGTAGTCTATGTTGCAATAACTCTACTATGCAAGTCTAGAAAAGTAATTCTAAAAGTTTTTGGCTAACCTGGGATACCTTTTAAAATAAAGAAAAAATAGTCACATTCTCAAAACTTCAAATAAAAAATTTTATTGAAATTATTTCAGGGCGCCTGGATGGCTCAGTCAGTTAAGTGTCCTACTTCAGCTCAGGTCATGATCTCCTGATTTGTAAGTTTGAGCCCCACATCAGGTTCTATGCTGACAGCTCAGAGCCTGGAGCCTACTTCAGATTTTGTGTCTCCTCTCTCTCTGTCCCTCCCCCACTGGTGCTCTGTCTCTCTCAAAAATAAATAAAAATATTTTTTTAAAAGATACATTTTGGGGCGCCTGTGTGGCCCAGTTAAACGTTGGCTCATGTCATGATCTTGCAGTTCGTGAGTTCGAGCCCCACACTGGGTCTGTGCTGACAGCTCAGAGTCTAGAGCCTGCTTCGGATTCTGTGTCTCCCTCTCTACTCCTCCCCAACTCCCACTCTGTCTCTCTCTCTCAAAAATAAATATGTAAAAGAAATTTTACAAAGAAACTATTTCTAATACACTTGATAGCATTATTAACATACAATACCACTATTTCTATTAATAATCATAGCTAATATTTACATAGGACACACACTATAAAATTTGTCAAAAAAAGGTAGCATTTCTAGCAAATAAAGCATATCTGACAGTTAAGACTTTTTTTAAGTTTTTTTATTCTGAGAGTGCGTAAGCAGGGGGAGGGGTAGAGAGAGAGGAAGAGAGAATCCCAAGCAGACTCAGCGCCATCAGCACAGATGTGGGGCTTGAACCCACGAACATGAGATAGATCATGACCAGAGCTGAATGATAATCAAGAACTGGATGCTTAGGGGCGCCTGGGTGGCTTAGTCGGTTAAGCGTCCGACTTTCGCTTAGGTCATGATCTCGAGGTTCGTGGGTTCGAGCCGCGTGTCGGGCTCTGTGCTGACTGCCAGCTCAGAGCCTGCAGCCTGTTTCAGATTCTGTGACTCCCTCTCTCTATGACCTTCCCCTGCTCACGCTGTCTCTCTCCCTCTCCTAGAAATAAATAAAACATTAAAAAAAAAAAAAAAGAACTGGATGCTTAACCGACTGAGCCACCCGGGTGCCCGTGAAGATTTTAAAGTACGCTCTACATCCAACTTGGGGCTCAAACTCACGACCCCCAAATCAAGAACTGAGTGCTCTACCAACCGAGCAAGCCAGGTGCCCCTCTGCCATATTTTTAAACAAAATTCCTCAAAGAGCCAATTCTTCCTATTAGGGGATGTAAACATGAATAGAGTTTTAATTTTTAAGAGAAAGAACTAAGCAGGACGAGGAAGTAATAATATTAATAGGAAGAAGACATGGTGAAAATATATCTTTGTAACAGATAATTTTAAGAGCTGTTTTCTGGCAAAATCATATTCCATTGTTATTAATAATGGGACAATAAAGATGGGAAGAATTAGCCAAAAAATAAAACAAGAAGAATCAAATAAGGGAAGGCAGTCCTAAAATAAGATTATCAAGGGGCGCCTGGGTGGGTCAATTGGTTAAGCACTTGACTTTCCTCAGGTCATGATCTCTCGGCTCCTGAGTTTGAGCCCTTGTTGGGCTCTGTGCTGACAGCTCAGAGCCTGGAGTCTGCTTCAGATTCTGTGTCTCCCTCTCTTTCTCTCCCCGTCCCCAGCTTGCACTCTGTCTCTCAAAAATAAACGTTAAAATTAAAAAAAAAATAAGATTAGCAAGACTATATTATTAGATGACTTATTTGGGCCTGTAAAGTGGCCATCATCATTATGCTGTAAAACGAAAAATAATTCTTGTACCCATTGTGTCTATCCTCTGGTAGCAACATGATGAGGTTTCCATAGAAACAACATTCTGCTCATCTAATGCCCCACCTCTTTCAAAAAGCAGTCAGTAGTCAATAATGTTCATTTTAACAGAGATTTTACTGGTAGGAAGTAATAGTAGAAACCTGTATTCAATATAGTTTATTAGAGAGGAGACAAATACAAATGAAATAAAAAAAGATAAACAATTTCTTCCTTTTTCTGAGACTACTTTTATCACTAAAACAAGAAGAACAAGGGGATAGAGTCCTGAAAAGGAACTGTTCCTGGAGGGAACTCCTGTACACAGCAGAATCAAGAGCTCCTAATCTTGTGTCTCTTTGCCCCAGAAAAATAACAGTTATCCCCAAGGAAGACAGTAGGGACTGACACATGTGTAAGGAAAACGGGATTTCCAGAGTCAGAAAGCCGTATTTCAGTGCAAATTACTCTAAAACACTCCCAAATCCCAATAATGAGTGACTTTGCTGCTAAATACTTTTCCCTAATCATTAAAAAAAAACCCACAATTTTATTGAGTTATAGTTTACATACTATACAATTCATTTGCTTTGTGTATAATTCAATGATTTTTAGAGTTGCATAACTATCACCACAGGTATAGAGATTTAAGTGTTTGGCAAATCACTGAAAACCTGGGTCTTGTGATTTCGCCTTTCATGGTAATTAACTCTTGGATTTCTCTCCCCCCCCAAGTAATTATTTCCAGGATAAAATATAGTGCTGACACTAGTATATACTTACCAAATTGAATCAAAAGGCTTTAAAATTTTTTGAGGAAGTAACTTTTCATAAATAGCAACAGAGCTGAAAATAAGGCAGCTTCTGAGAATTAAGCTAGTAAAATCTGTACTTAATAGATTAGCTGGTTGTGGGAGCAATCCATAAAACTGCCAGTAAACCTGTAAGTGAGGAGTTTACAAACACTCTGAACCCCCAATTATGATGAAGATGGAGGTGCCTGATTGGCCCAAGTCTTGATCTCAGCTCAGGCCGTGATCTCAGGGTCCCGAGTTTAAGCCCTACGCTGGGCTCAGCCCTGGGCATGAAGGCTACTTACAAACAGACAAACAAACACAAAAAGACGAGGATGTGATCTCAGGAGGCGAGGGGCAAGTGACTGTAATTTGAGCAACAGAAATCTAATCATTGTCTAGACAACTGTTTATACAAAGTTTATGTGCAGATTAGCCTACAGAATTGTCCAGGGGACAGATCCACAGAATCCAGAGGGTAGGAGTTTTCTTGTCTTTGAAGAGGTATACTCTGAGGTGGGGCAGGGATCATTTTTTTAGGTTTCACCATTGTTTGAATGAAATCTCTCAAAACAACTCGCCTCGCTTTGCTTTGATTCCTCATTTACTAAGCAACTGTCTGATTTGCTTTCTAGACTTGCCAAAACAGTTATCTTTGGTTTGTACAATTTGAGCATCCTGGTTACCAAAAATGAATCTTCCCCCAACAAATGAACACACGGCTTGGTTTATTTTCTTATTTTTTGCTCTCGTGGACTAAAATATGTTAATCAACTCTGGGACACCGATACTACGATCACACCCTGAACTGAAATAATCACCAAACTAATGTCATCTTGGGAGACCTTGATAAATGCCAGGTTTTTCCTGCTACATCCTGAACTCATCATGGACCCCAAACCTATAACTGGGTTACATTCAAATACAGTAAAAGGAGCCAACAGAGGAACAAGAATGTCCTCTTCACTCTATATTAAATTCTACTTGTACTCCTCTGAACAAAATCAGAAATGATTGTATTAAATTGGACCAGACTAAATCAAAGCAAATTCCCAATTTTCTTTTTTTTTTTTTCTGTAACGAAAAGTTCTTGAAATTAAAAGCATCTATCATTAACTTAACATTCAACAGATGAACCTGAATAACTCTTAAGTGGACGTATAAAATAACAGAAAGTGTGCTCACTAAATAACTATTGAATGAAAGAATCAATACATGATATGCCTGCAACTTTTAAAAAAACGCTCATCTCTTCTGCTACCAACTGAATAGGACAGGGCTAGAAACCGAATCAATTTGTTGAAAGAGTGGTTTTTTTGTGTTTTTTTTTCATTTAAAAAATTATCAGGATTTTTTTAAATTAAATGCTCAGTTTCAAAATATATCATTGAAGGATAATCAGTGAAGGATTGTCTGAAAGATAGACAATCTGTCCTTCCCTCTAAAACTTTCAGAGGTCCCCCTCCCCCCCCCCCTTGGGAATCTAGACACTCCTTTAAGAATCTGATTACAATTTCAAATCCTCTTGGAAGAAAAAGTACATGCACATAAACACATAATTTTGGAAACCATCACAGAGAGTTCAAGCACAACCAAAGATCTTCTATGGATCTGTTGAGGATCAAATTGAATTTGTATTTTGGGATCACTCAGACATTTGTAAAATGCACTCAGTGAACTTTCAGAAGTAAGAAAACACGCCATTCTCCTAAACAACCTATTTCTTGTTTAATCTCAAGGGCATTTAGACTTCTGAATATGCTTGTGTTCCCTTCTTTACCATGACTTCCGGAATGAGCCGAGTCAAACTTGCAGTCCATCTTTAGGAATTGACCGGAAGCAGGCATTTTGGGTAGTAACCTCACCCTGACTTCACCTCAATCCCTCCCCCCTTATTTTCCCATTCCCCCAGAGTTCTCGGTCCAGTTTTAATACTGCTTTATGGTATCTCGGTAAACTGCCTCACACCCTTGGGGACTGTTGCAAACAAATACAGAACATGAAGAAAATCATCCTTTATTAAACACAGGGTGCAGGTATTTATGATACAGGGTTTTCTTAGAAATTGAATTCATTACTACTACTTTAAAGTCCGAACACTTCACATAAAAATCCAGATTTCAGAGGTCTCTCTAAAAAATGTAAAAAGTGCTCTCCTTGGGCCAGCTTGCAGGTGGGCTCAGTCCTGAACAACTGTGGGCTCCAGCGGTCACAGTTCTCACACATCCATTTTTCTCGTTTATAGTACCTAAGAGGCCCGGAAGTTCAGAAAAGGGAACTTCAAGATTTTGCAAAGACACACCCGCTTTTCTCGTTTTTTCAAAGGGCTGAATACATAACAGGCCCATCACTCTTCAAACCTTCGCTGGACCTCGCCTCTGCGGTAGGACTAGGCAATTAAAGAGAAGCTGAGGGCTGCATCCTGGCTGACTGAATACAGCTCAAAACACCGCCACTACATCAAGGTGTGAGTTAAGTTTTAAACCAATGGTGGAACGGTACTTAGTGTATTTACCAAGGAGTCTAAGCTGGGTTGCCCTGAACTAGACCCTTGTCTAAGCAGCTCACCGCCTGGGCGCAGAAGGGGCGGGAATACAAAGTCCGGTCTTGGCTCCTAGTCAATCACAAGCCTGAATCACAAGCAGCGGAGCTCCCGGACTAGGCGCCCTCTCCAAGAAAGTCCGCGTTTCCGGAGCAACGGCCAGGTCCCTCCCCCTTTAACTCCGCCCCCGGCAGTCTTTCCCGCCAAAGGCCGTTAACGCCGTAGAGCATTGTGGGACGAGGCTCAAGGCTAGGTTTCACCAAAAGCTTTCAAGGCGCGGACTTGTTTCTAAAAGGGACTCGTTCCTGGGAAAACGGTTTATTCTTTAAGACTCATTAGGGATTAGTAACCCATTTAAAGACGGATCTGTGTTTTAATTTTTTTACCAAATGACTGGTCACTTCTCTAGCAAACCACTCCGCAAATCGGGAAAGCGGGGAACTTTTTTCTCCTTTGGCGCGGAGGGTGACGTCGCGCGTGCGTGAGCGTACCTCTCCCAGTACCCGTTACGCTCTTACGCATGCGTACTGAGATCGAATAGCTGCTTCCTCCCGCTTCTCTTCCTCCCTCCCCCCCATATCCGTGCGCCGAGCTGATAAAGGCGCCATTTTGGACGGGCCGCGGGAGACGTGGTGTCGCTGCGGGATCGCTCTGCTGTGCGCTAGGCTTGGTGGGAAGGCCTGTTCTCGAGTCCGCGCTTTTCGTCGCCGCCATGTCGGGAGGTGGTGTGATTCGTGGCCCGGCAGGGAACAACGATTGCCGCATCTACGTGGGTAACTTACCTCCAGACATCCGAACCAAGGACATTGAGGACGTGTTCTACAAATACGGTGCTATCCGCGACATCGATCTCAAGAATCGCCGCGGAGGGCCGCCCTTCGCCTTCGTTGAGTTCGAGGACCCTCGGTGAGGCGTCCCGGGGCTTGCGGCCTTGCGGCAATAAGTTGGAGTAGTTGGGGTAGGCCTGGATACAAAGAATGGGGAGGTGGGGGGTAAAGACGATATCGCCTATGCAGGAGTCGAGTAAGGAGCTTAGTCGCCGTGGCTTCTCTGGTGACTGGGCCCACGGACGTCCCCAGAGCGGACTCTCGGTCTCGGAGCGGGAAACTGAGGCGCTGAGGGCTGGTGTAGTGGTCGGGAACCTGGCGTGCTTCTGGGTGGGGGAGGGGCCATTCCTATTATGCAGCGCATGTGGGCTTTTCCACTTTGGGTGCGCATGTGCGGGGGGCCGCGAGTTCCCGACTGAGTTAGCTGCCCCTCCCGGCCCTTTTTCTTACGCCTTTTGCTTTCTATGATCACGCAGAGACGCGGAAGACGCGGTGTACGGGCGCGACGGCTATGATTACGATGGATACCGTCTGCGGGTGGAGTTTCCTCGAAGCGGCCGTGGCACAGGCCGAGGCGGCGGCGGGGGTGGCGGTGGCGGGGCTCCCCGAGGTCGCTATGGCCCCCCATCCAGGCGTTCTGAAAACAGAGTGGTTGTCTCTGGTGAGTTTACTGTTCGTGAGAAGACACAGAACACTTAAGTTTTTCCTTGGGTGACCAGTGTTGACAAATGATGAGTTTTTGTGGTAGGTCTTAAATTAGTTTTTCGGGTAAATTTAGTAAACAAGGATCACAGTGGTGGAGGTATACCTGTTATCACGTACGTTCGTACTCTTAGGTTGGTTACCTAGACTGTGAAGGTCCTTCGCAAATAATTCTCAACTCTGAATTCCAGGATCTTAACAGAGCTTGACCTAGGATCTTGAGTCAGATCATTAATTTTAAAGTAGTCTTTGTGCTAGTGTAAATTTTAAGTTTAATGTGAAATTTGGGGTGATTGGTATTGAACAAATACTTTTTTAGGACTGCCTCCAAGTGGAAGCTGGCAGGATCTGAAGGATCACATGCGTGAAGCAGGTGATGTATGTTATGCTGATGTTTACCGAGATGGCACTGGTGTCGTGGAGTTTGTACGGAAAGAAGATATGACCTATGCAGTTCGAAAACTGGATAACACTAAGTTTAGATCTCATGAGGTAGGTTTTTTACACTTACTCTTTTCTTTGGCCAGAATTGGATACAGTGGTCTTAACAATGGAATTTGAAGGTAAGATTCAGGCAAGGGTGTCCAAGTAAAGTACCAGATTACTGGTTTTAGTTGCGTTGTATTCGTTCAGCATGCCTGAAGACAGATGAAAGCTTAGATCTTCAATCGAAAGTTCTGTCTATTCAATAGGGAGAAACTGCCTACATCCGGGTTAAAGTTGATGGGCCCAGAAGTCCGAGTTATGGAAGATCACGATCTCGAAGCCGTAGTCGTAGCAGAAGCCGTAGCAGAAGCAACAGCAGGAGTCGCAGTTATTCCCCAAGGAGAAGCAGAGGATCACCACGCTATTCTCCCCGTCATAGCAGATCTCGCTCTCGTACATAAGATGATTGGTGACACTTTTTGTAGAACCCATGTTGTATACAGTTTTCCTTTACTCAGTACAATCTTTTCATTTTTTAATTCAAACTGTTTTGTTCAGAATGGGCTATAAAGTGTTGAATTGCATTCTTGTGTAATATCCCCTTGCTCCTAACATCTACATTCCCCTCATGTCTGATAAAATGTATTTTAAGTGATGTCATAGACAGGATTGTTTAAATTTAGTTAACTCTCCATGCTCTTCAGACTGTGATATTGTGTAAATGTCTATTCTGCTCTGGTTTGTGTGAACTGGGGATGTTGGGGGGTGTTTGTGGTTACCTTACCTGGGGAAGTTCTTATGTTTATCTTGCTTTTCATGTGTCTTTCTGTAGACATATCTGAAGAGATGGATTAAGAATGCTTTGGATTAAGGATTGTGGAGCACATTTCAATCATTTTAGGATTGTCAAAAGGAGGATTGAGGAGGATCAGATCAATAATGGAGGCAATGGTATGACTCCAAGTGCTATTGTCACAGATGAAATTGGCAGTATTGACCTTATACTAAAAGGCAAGGGTTTAAAGTGATTATATACATCTACCTTAAAACACTTGCAAACATCTTATGCAGTTATCTTTAGCTACAATTGCTTTGCTCTTTAAACCTTGGCAATTGTGGCAAATGTTACATTGCCCATTTTGTAACAATTTATTTTGCTCCCTTCCCTCCCTTTTTTGTTTTAATAGGGACTAATGTGGGAAGAACTGGCTAATTTGTCACAGTGCTTAGTTACAACTGTTAATGTGTGACCTGCTGTTGGTGTACATGTGGGTACAGGGTGTCTTTAATTCCGACCAGATAGAGTATAATATCAATACTGCTAAATCTGCATGTCCTCTGTGTGACTGATAGAGCGTTGCTATTTCATTTTTTTAAGACAAAATGAAAGCAAAATAGAGAATTCCAATGTATTGGTGTAGATAATCTAGTTGGGAATATTTTTAAAGTCTCACTTTCCCCTTTTAACTAATATTCATAATTGACTCATGTTTAAAACACTTTAATTTGCAAATTGCAGATGGGAGCATTAGGTTTAGTTTAGACTTAGGGTGGGTAGCAATACCAGTAAACTTTTCAACTACATAACTTTTTGCAACCACAAAACCTGTAATACGCTGTACAGTAACAAGTGTTGGCATTATCAGTTGAACTGTAAATATAAAATGCTTCTTCCAATTAGTCTCTATGATGATTAAGTTTCTAAAATTTATCTGAACACCATTCAGAAACTTGTTTTGGGGAATTTGATAGTTATTGATGTACATCTGTTAAACTGATGACAGACATAACTCATCATTCCCCAGAAACCTTTTTTGATTACAGTATCTAACATTTTGCCTCCTCTTTTTTGGTTTTGCTGGTTATAAAGGTTTGGATTGGAGAGGGCTCACTGGATCCCAATCCTTGGAGCTGGATCATTGGATTCAAATCATAATGTGGATAGGATAGGGAGGATGAATTACAAGGATTCATGGAGCGGGATCAGATTACCAGGAACATAGGAGTGGATTCCTGCCCCAACCAAACCGCATTCGTGTGGATTTTTTTTTTTTTATTCAACTTAATTGGCTATTCCAAAGATTTTTTTTTTCCTATTTTTGACGATTGGAGCCCTTAAGATGCACGATGGAATTGTGTTTTGCATTTTTTGGTAAAAGGAGCAAAGCGAGGACCTGGAGATAATACGCTGGAGCAATCTCCTTGGAAGGATTCAGCACGAGTAGATGGTAAACATTTAAAGGGGAAAGGGGGGGTTTGTTTAAAATAGTAAATCAGTAAGTCACTTCTAAATTTAAAGAACAAAATTGGAGTTGAAGAATAAGTAGGTTTCCAATTGGCTATTGCCGTTTTTCTTTGAAAAAAAATAAACATTTTTTAAAAAACTATGCATGGTTGTCCTTTTTCCTCTTCATGTAAAATTTTAACTGGGTGACTATCCGATAAGCTTTGATAAGATTCTGATTCTTGTGTTATGTGTTAGTAAATTAAAGGTTCTTGAAAGATAATCTTAATAAATGGTATTAGCTATCTTAATGTTAATTGTAAAAGTCTTCAGAGAGATAAGGCAATTGTGTACATAGTATGGTAAATGAGGGGTGATTTAGTTTCTGAAAGATAAGTTTCACTTTGATGAAAATAATTAAAAATTTATAGATGTTTATTTTTTGGTGATAATCTAAACAACATAGTTTTTTGTGCAAAATTTGGGTAGTGACTAGTTCATGTTATCTCGGAGATAGTGTTGGAGATTCTCAAGCTCTTCTCAAAAATCGGTAAGTATTAAATGCTCAATTCACAGATTAGAATTCGTAACATTTACAAATTACATATTTTTTTGAAATGTGAATACTACACTAGAATATTAACTGCTTATATTTGAATTATTGTTACTAAAAAGCTGGGCTTTAGAATTCGCCTTGTGAACCCTTCTCAACCATAAGCTTATTCTGTTTCCAAAACCTATCAAGGCAGTAATTTATATCTTAGTCTGCTAGTTCATGTATCTTTTTACTTGACAGCCTGGTGCCAAATTTTCAATGAGTTGGGGGAGATTTTTAGTTAAAATCCCTAATGTTTTTTCTTTTGATTTCCTCATAGCTAGTCAAAACCATCAAAACACATTTTCTGCACCCAAAAGAAATAACTAGATCTTAACATTTGCCTTGGATGCTAATCACAGTTGGGAGCTGAATTTAAGACCACTATGCAGGTGACATAATTCCAAACCTAGAAAAAACTAGACCTAATCTTGGTAGTAGAGAAGATGGGTCCTGAGAGAGATTTGCATAAGGGCACCCAACCAAAACATTTATATGAATCTTGTGGGATGTAGGGAGGAAGGGAAGGGATCATAAGTTCAAACGGAGATTCTTTTTAAGTATTTAAAGAACTTGGTAGAAGTTAAAGTTATTAGTTCATAATGTGAGAATTCAAAATACAGTGTTCAAGAAGTGGAAAGATTTTTATTATTTAAAACTGACAAGTTCTGTTTTATGTGTAAAATGTGTTTTAAACTAATTTTGCAAAGGTCAGTGTGGGCTAGACTTAAAGTCTAGCCTGTGTTCGTTGAATGTGTCGGAAACCAGACCAAGATGAAACTGCCTTCACTCAAGATTGAGTGCATTGAGCCTAAGTTGAAAGCTGTGCTCTACTAAAAATTTTAGTAGTTCCAACCTCAGAATTGAAGTGAGGTGGAAAAAATAATGTCATAATAGGCTGTCTGAAGATGACAGAGAACTTGATTGTATGTTTATGAAAGGTAGAGGGGTGCCAGTCCAGACTGCTGGAAGCTGTGAGGGGAGGTGTAGGCTTTCTTTTTCAGTCTTAGGAAATGAGCCCTAAACCTCTCCTGTTTTGGCAGCTATTACAAGAAAGTCACACTGTTTTGGAACTAAAAAAGCTGCCCTGAATTGTTCCCTTTTTCTCTATTTATGTCTCCTTAGAATAGTGTAGGGAATCTATAATTTGTTATTTTCTAACCAAGGAAAAACTTAAGTCTGAGAAGCAAATATTTTTCATAACATCAGATTGAATAACCCACCTTGCTGTTCAGCCCACATCCTTCTGGAGACAAAAGGTAAGAAACCCATTTTCTGATTCCTAATTGTTTGGGATCTGAATTTTATTTTAAAAACTTGTTTAATAATTTTTTTTTAAATTCTGTATAACATTTTTCTCATTTAAAATGTTTTTTTCTCCTAAGTTTTATACCTAAAATTTTGAGTGTTCCCATGCACACTTGTAGTGTTTAAATTGAATATGATTTCTAGAATTTCAGCTTTCTCTGTTTTATCTTTGAAACATCTTGCTCATTAGGACTGATGTGGTTTCTTTTTCAAGTTTTCTGTGTAGATGAATTTCTTGTGTCTTTGCACTTTGTATATGAAGTTGTACTGAAATTAGAAATTAAGTTATGTGTATGTATTTATCATAAATAGTATTAAAAAGAAACTATTAGGCTAAAGTTCTGTTGTCCCATAACCATCCTTTGGTTTCACTTAGTTCTATCCTGGTATAGAGTGCAGAGGGAGAAAACAGGTTCACAATCTCTTATCCAAAAAACTGAAAATTTGTTGTTGAATGTAAAACCTGACCAGAATAGATTCCTTCCTTCATTTTGCACTTTCTGGGGCTACACTGTCTTCTGCAGAAATATTGGTGTATCATTACACAGTCACCATAGGCTTTGCTGAGGCTGTTAACATGATACAGAGGCTATATACCATATTTTAATATAAAGTGCAAATGGCTCTGAGTTTCAAATACATTTGCTTTCACCAGTTTGGGTAAGAGATTGTAGAACCCTAATAGAAAAAAGGACTCCGCCTGTATTAATTTGGGACATGTGAGTGAGAAAACTTGTTAAGTGTGGATCCTTTATTAATTGAGATGTAAGTTCCCCATCTTTTTAGCTGAAGCAGCCACGAGAAAAAAGGTATGACCCACATTTCTTTATATTCTGTCACTGTTGTGGACTCACAGTTGTACTCCACTGAATGAAATCATTCTGCCATCCTAGTGTATGTAGTGGTGGTACATTTTATTCTTTGGGGATACTTTTCTTCAGTACTTTACAGGATTTTACATTGATCCGTCTGATCCTATAAAAGACGCTGGGATTGGCATGAAATGAGATTATATGGAAGCATCTGTTCATTGTGTTAATTTTGATTGTCTACTGAATACATGGTAATCCTGGCAAAAACTTTAAAAAGAGGCCCAGGAAGTTAGACTTGGGGGATGCTTCTTGATAACTTAAAGCTATACCTGACAGACTTAAAGGTGGTTGTGATTTTGTAGGAATAGAGGAATTTTTTTCAGTGCCCCCCCCCCCCCCCCCCCCCCCCCCCCCCCCCCCCCCCCCCCCCCCCCCCCCCCCCCCCCCCCCCCCCCCCCCCCCCCCCCCCCCCCCCC